TTTTAATTTTTTTTAGTGACTACTTAGTTATATTTTAATTTTTATATTCATTTTTTAAACAAAAAAATCAATATTTATCAATACTTCATTCTATTAATGGTATTATTTTGAAATCAACTTTAAAAGTAACTCGACTAATCATACCAAGCTTATGTGTGGTCCTTCTAGTCGATCACAGGACTAATCATACCTTTAGGCCGAGTTTCCATCAGACCATCCGACGGTCCTAAATCAACTTGTCGTTGGCCCTTCAAACCCCTCACGTCTTCTTCAACCTGAGGACCTCCTTGTTTTGTACATAGCTTGACCTCTATTCGACCTTCTCGCGACTCTGTTCGACCAACCAGTTCGCTCGGCCAGGTCAGTCAGTTTATTGGGTTTGCTCTACTAGATGTGGTATGTCATATCATCTGGTCCTCCCACCCTAGTCGAGTTTTGAGTAACTTGGTGTATGAGTAGATTTTGTTTTTTCCTTTGGTTGGTAAGTTCCAACTCTTATTTTTCGACATGTCTGCTCACGCTTTCTTTAAATCCATAACATAGTTTTCGATCCCGCCTTTTTCTCTTCAATTCAAATTTCAAAATTTAATTTTATGCATCTTGTCAGATCCAATCAATCACAACGTCTCATCGACATCATCACTCTGCAAATCACACTGGCTTCGTACAACGTGCCCATTATCGACAATAAACCAAGCAACAAATCAAAATCCAAGCAAACTCGTAACCGCCATGTTGACAATGCCCACACGAGATCCAAGTCGTCATATCAATGCGCGGGGTGTATATTGATTTAACAGCTCAGAAACCCAGAGTTGGGAAAAGCCTTATCATTTTCCAACCTAAACAACACTTCATTATTTACATCAATATGGACATTATCCATTACAGAAGGCCATTATTAATGGAGAAGCCCCATTCTCTGTGAAAGATGTGTCATAAAATTGGAGATGATGACACAAATTTCCCTTCCCACATCAGAACAGCCCAATTTCCAACTGCTTCCCCTATTTAATGTTTTGTCCTAAAAAAAATAAAATTGATTTCTCATTCTTGAATTTTGTCTGAATGTAATCAATATATATATATACCAAATTTCCAGGTGTCCTACACTTTTTTTTAAACAATTTTATATTCTGACATGTCCCATCCATTTTTTCCTCCCAATATGAAAAAAATATTGCACCTTTTTGGCACTACTTGCTTTACTACCCAACTCCACTTAAAGCTCCTTTCTTGAAATAAGGTAAAATCTATTTATTTATTTATTTTTCTTCCTCTTACAGCTCTATTGATGTGTGTGTTCTTGGTTTTTCATGTTTGCTCTCTTTCATGTTTGCTCTATTTATTTTGGGTTCTCATATTGTTTCTTAAATGTGTTTTTCATGTTAAGGTAATGTTCTTTTATTTGATGCACTTTTGTTGAGTTCTTGAGGTTTCTATGTTTTGTCAAATGCATGTTGTAGCTTGTAATAATCTCATTAACATGTCAAGAGCTATAATGTTTTCAACCTGATTTTTGTCCTTTATGAGCTTCCAAATGAAACAAAACTGAGAGAGAGAGAGAGAGAGAGAGAGAGAGAGAGAGATTGAGAGAGATTTATGAAATAGTTTGTTGAAAATCTACTATAATAAATCTCAAATACTCAAGTCAACTAGCACAGCAAGCTGTCAAATGATACATCAAGAATTGCAGTACTTTAAAAAAAACAAAATCCTGCTCCCCACATGTTTGCTTGATCTAAAATTCCCTATTAAT